TATTAACCTCTTAGGTAAGATATGTTTCTTGACTTTATCTTTGTGCCAAACGTCTATTGAAGGAACAGAAGAGCAAATGTATTTCATCTTTAGTCTGTCAACACAGGGGAAAAAAATAAACCTGGAATATTCTCTTTATAGCACTATAACATGAATCAACATCAGCAATTTTAAACACTGAAGGGAAACTAACAAGTTGAATTTTAACAGGAAAAAATGCAAAAATCCCAACTGGTGGTTACTGAAACCAATAGTTCTGATGCAAGATTCACGGGGGGAAAAAAAACTAATTCAATATTTATTGAGTGCCACTTATATTCCAGTCACTGTCCCAGGTGCTGGGAATATAGCAGGGAAAATACAATGTCCCTAATGTCACAGAACTCCAATTGAATTAGAAAAAAAAATCTAAGGGTTTTAAAAAAACCCAAGCTTAGTGTGAGTCATCAAGGTAATATGGCAACAACAAGAACAGAAAAACAATCCTAACCTGATTTTACCTGCAGGAGGAGAGAGGTTCCTTCTGTGGCCACTTTAGAATGTTCCAAGTGCCCTCTGCTGTTGAGCTGACAGCAGGAGTTTGGAGTTACCCTAGGTCCCTTGTATCTGGAAAGACTTTGACAAACCTAGTGGTATGTGTATAGGAATATGGTCAGGCCCACAAGAGACATGAGAAATGATTAAGGAACTGCATGTGTCTGGCCTGGAGGAGGTTAGAGGAGATGGAAAGCATCTTCAAGGATTGAAAGGAGCTAATTGTTCAAGACTTAATCATATAAGTTCAGATTTCACCAGGTGGAAATCGCAGGGAAGATGCTCTGCAATGGCATGGGAAGACCCCCTGTCCTAGGGAAGAGATATCGATGGGATATCTCAGGGACAATGCAGAGAAAATTGTGTGGTCAGAGAGACTGGACCATCTAGAGGATGTACTAAACTTTTGAGTACCATCAACTGCCAACAGAGAATCTTATAACAAATCTCTATGAACAAGAAAGGCAGTAGTTAGGAGTGTGGGCTTTGGAATCAGTTGGATCCCAGTCCTGAGCTGGAAAAGTTACTCAACTCTAAATCTCAATCCCTTTTGTAAAAAGGAAGGTGGTAACAGTTCCTATCTTATCCTGGGTGTAAACATTAAATAATATGATTGACATAAACTGCCAAGTACACTGCCTGGCCCCTGATCAGTTGTCAATAAATGTTAGCTAATAGTAATTATTAAATGCTTGTCATATTATTTGACTTTTATTTAGGTAAATCATTTTGCTGTCTCTAATTCTTCAAACTTCCTTAAACTAAGAGAATTTTCATACGATAATAATTTGAAATGTTGTATTCTCTGGAGATATTAGAGAAAAGCCTAAGGGGAATATGTGGAAATTTTAAAAAGGGACTTGCAATTAAAGTGAGACAAAGCTAGGAAGTTACTAATGTATGGAATGGCTAGGTCACAGCAAACTCAGACTCCCCTTCTCCTTGGAGATTCCCATCTGACAACAGAAGTAAAAATCAGACCAGCAAACTGATTTTATGAGGATTAAGTCATGTCAGACCAATTTAATTTCCTTCTTTGTCGGAGAGCCTGATCTTGGTAATAGAGACATAATGGATATCAGACACTGGCTTCAGCTAAGTTTTAAATTCTAGCCTACATAATAGTCAAATCTAAAAATTTAATTCAGTTCTGCTAGCAAGTGGAATCTCCAAGCACAGGGACCAGGGGCTTAGGATCACTTTTTGAGTGAGGAGGAGAGACAAGACACTCCTTCCTTCATAGAAGTGAAAACATGCTCCCTGCCCCACAGTGAAGTGCAGAATTAATTCAACAAATTTTTACTGAACACTGTCATATGATACACCCTCAATCTGGATAGAGTATGAAAAATTAAAGTGGGATTTCAAAGCAGATATGCCTATTGGAGTTTTTCAGTAGACATGGCTATGGAATTGGGGTGTGGAGACCTATGGAGTTTTGAGGCTGGGCCAGATGTTGCAGCAGAGTGTGATAAAGTTGGGCAGAGGCTTTCCTGTTTGTTTTAACAGCAGCTATGGGATCAGAAAGGTACTTGGAGGGACTGAGGTTAAACAGATTTAAGTGGGGAAGTTCAACAGCAAGCACTATAGGGAAGAACTAAAGAGGGGGCATCTAGGAAGAGCACATGGGAATTAAGGGCAGGTTTGTACAGAGCACCTGCTCATTCAGAAAATCTTCATGAGACACCAACCTGTGTCACACCTGTGCTAAGCATAGAAGACACAAAGAAGAGTTAGGTCCATTCCCTACCTTCTATGGTCCTGAGGTTAAGGTAGCCAGAAGAAAGGTGATTTCAATTTGACAATAAAGGAGAGTAACTGGGGCCCAGAAAGAAAGGGTTCTTGAGGACTAAGGGTACCAGAAGTAAGTAAGAGCTTTGAAGTGGTTGAGGTAGTGTGCAGACTGGGACAGTTCACCAAGAGTCCATTTGCTTGGGTATATCACTTCCAGAGACCCTCTCTAGCTCTAAAATCCACTGCAAAACCATTGGACTGGACTGGGTTGATTTTTTTTTTTTTTTTTTTTTTTAACAATCTGGACTCTCCTGAATCCAGTACTTCCATTTGTCCCCCCCTCCAACAGAAACGGACTGCTAGGAACAGGAAAAACTGATCTTCTAGCTTCCTATGACCATATAGTCACCAAGGTCCTTAGGTGTCCCCTAATGGGATTAAATTCATGGCTAAAGCACTGGTGGGACTAGGTGAAGCAGGAGGAGGTGGCAGAAAGGAAAATAAAATAAATAAAGAATCCAAGCTAATTTCCCAGGGTGGCAGAAATCCAGGAGATTTGTAGTTTTCTCAGATGTCCCACTGACTGAAGATGACCAGTTTCCAGGCTGTAAAGCCACAGGAATCAAGCCACTCTTCCAGAGACCCCCAAGAATACCAGTGTACTCCAAGGGAAGCCTTGGCTCAACCTCTGTCTTCAGAAATGTTCCTCTGCTCCAAGGCTGATGGGAATTTCTAGGGAATTGAAATGCTGCTGCCCATCTAAGAGTCTGGCCAATTTGAGTGCTGTCCTGGAGCTGCAGCTGAATCCATCTTCGGGACTGTCCGCCTGGCAAGACTGTCCCATGTTTGGCAAAGTTCCATGAACAGCGTGCCTGTCCCAGTCCCCACCTGTTGCAGGGATCAGATCTCCTGATGGATGGGATCTGAGTTAGGATGGCAGAGAAATAAGTGAATGAATGTTGGGAAAGACTTGAGGAACATGTATGTACATATTTATCCAGTCCATAACAACTCTCAAATCCATTCTCTCCCTCCCTCCCTCCCTCTCACCCCCCCCCCTTTCTCACACCATACAGGGCCAGTCACCAAGGCAACCGTTCTCTGAAGCTGTACTTTGTTCTTTTTCATGCCAGATCTTTTCAATCTTATTTCCTTGCCGTGCAGCCCTGGCCTTGAACTCTGCAGAGAAGTACCACTACTTCCTTGGGAAATACTTTTACATCCAAAGTGTACAAGTCCCTTTAGAGGCTCATGTCTTATCTTCATCTTGACACTGAATGTGACCAACACACCATCTGGAAACTTGATGAAAGCATTGGCCACACAAAATAATTGTTATGATTGCTTCTCTGAGTCAGGAAATTTAGAGAGAAATCCAGTGTTCTGACAGCTTTCACAGACTGTTCTCAGTTTAAAAAAAAAAAAAAAAACGGGGGTGGGGGTGGGGAGGTGGGGTGTGAATTTTCTTATGTGGAAAAAGGAGCCAGGCCAGGCACATGCCCAGAGTCCCAACTACTGAATAAGCTGAGGCAAGAGATTCATTTCAGCCCAGGAGTCCAAGGCCAGCCTGGGCAACACAGCCAACCCCATCTTGTTTAAACAAAACCAGCATTGGTCCTAAAAGATGAAGAGTCCTATCCTCAAGGCTAACATGGCAGCTCTTAATTTAAGAGGCATTGATTTAGCGTTATTAGTCTCAAAAGTAGTTTACATTTTTTTCTTCCTCCATAAAATACACATTATGCTTCAAATTAACCCTATTTTTAAATTTTAAATTTCATCATTCAAAAATGCCTATATAAAGCAGTCAGAAAACAAAACTTTTTAAATCCAAATATCAATCTGGCTTTTGACATCATCCATGTAATAAGCAATAATTTTTTTCTTTTTAGTGTCACCAACACATTTATGATCAAAGTTTAATACATAGCAACAGTTTTCATCTCTGTAGTTATTAGAGTTTGCTTGAAAAAAATAAAATCCTTTGTTGTGAGTGGACTAGAAAGTTCTTTGCAAATCCTATCAGATTTCTGGTGGCTGGAGAATGACCTAGGTAAGAGTATTCAATTTGTAGTCAAAAAAAATTTATGCCCTGTCTTATATTGAGACGACAGGGGGTAGGGAAAGAAGTTCTGCACTGTTAAATAACTGCCTGAAAAGTAAGTTAAAGTAATAGGGTAGGCATGCATTTATTTGGCCCTGATTTTGGAAGCCCAACAGGAAGGATTAGGGAAGCAACAAGACTCCACCCAGGCGATCCTACTCCGGTGTCTTGTCTATAAATCAAAGGAGAGGGGCCAGGTGGCCAGTGGATGAAACCACTGGGTACGCAGGTGGCCAGAGAGGAAGCTGGACCAGAGCTAGGCAAAGGCAAACCGGGTCGGGTGGGAGATGTGGTGTGGGCTGTGAGGTAGGCGTATGGACCAGATGGTAAATCCTCCCACCCATCCCTCCCCGGTCGGTCGGCGCATGCACTGGCCAAGGCAAAGAAGCGTTGGGTTGGTGGGAAGCTCGGGGGATTAGCTCAGCCCTCTGTAAGCGGCTCCTGTCGACCCCGATCCCACACCCCAGCTTGAGTGGGCAGGTCCTGTCACTGTCCCCCTCCCCCATCGGTTCATAAGGGTCCTTTGCTTCCCCTGCCGCCTGGACCCCTCTGGCTTCTCTCTGGGTGGCCAGGGCCGCGGCGCAGACTCCGGGAGGGCTGCCAGGCGGGGGTCTGCAGGCTCACTCACCCGTGTGCAGGCCACCGGCCTCGGGGCCAGTGTCAGGGCCAGCGGCACTGGGCTGCGCGTCCGAGTCGGTGTAGGTGAGCCAGGTGGACTCTGTCTCCCGGGTCCAGCTCTCGTAGTAGCGGGGCTCGATGGCATCAGCCCTGCTCCCGCCGCAGCCCATCCTCCCGCGCTGTGATCTTGCCCGGCGGCCACTCGGCTAGCTGCTGGCGCTGTGGCTCAGCCCGGGCGGCGCAGCCCCGGCCCGAGGGAAGGTGGCAGCAGCGACATCGCTTCGGAGCCCGCGCGGAGCTCCTGCAGCGCCTGCTGCGCCTCCTCTCGGCTTTGAGGCCCTCCCCCTCCCCACCTCCCCTTACCTCTTCCCTCCCAGTTCTCCCCCCACCCGGTCCCAAATCCCCGCTCTCTACCCCCTTCCTAAGTGCTCGGGAGCAGGCCTGGGTGTGGGAGCCACCGCAGCAGCCAGCAGCGAGAGGAGGGTCCCGGGAGGGACACAACCCCGCCTGCCTGGATTATGGTTCCCAGGCGACTATCCCTTCACGCATAATCCACCCACCCACCTACTTGTCCTTCCTTCCTTCCTCCCTTGCTCCCTCCCTTCTTTTCTAGAAAGGGGCTCACAAGCTTTCTGGCCACTTGTTCTAAAAGCAGTGGAGCTGGATACAATCCTAGGAAACTGGGGAGACAGTGTGGCCACCAAGAATTCAGAAGAGTGAGTGCCCTATCTTGGCTGGTTTGGGGAATAGGACCTATGATTTCAGAGAATTGGGCAACACCCCGTCTATAACACCCCTTGCAGTTCTGCAACTTCATGATTCTCTGAAGTTTGTTCTCAAGAGGAAAAAAAAGATCACCAGGACCCCTCCCTGGGTGATGTGGGAATCGTGGCAGGGTTCCCTCCAAGCCCAGGAGTGGCCTTGACTAGTTCCACAATTCCACCACCCATATTCAGCCTTTCTTTCTCTGGTACACTCTAAAGTCCACATGGGTTCAGACCTAGAGCTCAGACTTGAATAAGCTTCTGAATTTATCTGTACAAAGAACCTAGAACAGGAGGTAAAAGAAGGAAACCATCCTAGAGGGATGTGAAAGGTGAAGAGTTTGGAAGAATAAATCCTCAATGACTAGTCATTCCTAGAATAGAATATGGTGTTAAATATCATATTCATTTATTCAATGTATGTTTGCTAAATTCTTATTGTGGTGAAACATTGTTGTAGTACATATAATTAGCAATATAATTAATCATGTATAATACTTATTGTATGTAGATTGTAACATTCTATTTAACACAGCAAAGTATACAAAACACAACGTAAAGGTATACTACTCATTATATCCTACACAATGTGTAGAATGTACATCAGAGGACAATGTATATAATATTTAGCATGTAGAATCCAGTAGGTAGGCCAAGTCCAGAGCTTAACCAGGCACATACTAAATAGGCCCCCAATAGTCACTGGAGGAATAATGAAGTATTCTTTTGTAGTAATGAAATTCACTTTAATTATTGTAATTCAATCCTGAAAGCTTGGGTTGGAGCTGTAAGAGGCCCTTGAGATGGGTACTAACAAGAATCTGGGGAGCACAGACTTATGGGATCAAGACCAGGGGTTCCTCCTCCTCATGCTGAGATCAGAGTCCATATGAGAGAAACCAGTCAGAATAGAAAGAGTGCCTCAGTTGGAAGATGCTCAGGGAGTTCCAGAAAATGAAAGAAAGTCCTGGAGCAAGGGCCTGGTGAGAAAAGGAATCCAAATGAATGTGATGTGAGATTGAATAGGCCGGAGCCTGATACAGGGGTGGAAAGGACCATAGAAAAAGATTTGAACTTTTTTCTTTAAAACAAACAAACAAAACCCCAAGAAATGCTGGAAGGCTTTAAGCCACACACTGCCAACATCAGATCTGCTTTAGGAAACCATCACTCCAGAGGCAAATGGAAAATGGGTGCACACAGAACCTAGAGGGTATTCTGGAGGCTCCTAGAAAGAAAAATGATGTTGGAGGATACAATCTTTTGAGTTAGTAGGATTGCCAATTACAGAGGAAGGAAATATCAGAGGTAAACATACTGACTTGGAGAGATCTGGAAATGGTAGGTGGAAAGGAATATTGGTTTTGCTTTCTCTGTTCATTTACCCACAGTCTACTGAATTCCAAAATTTTTATATAGAAAATTCCAGAAACAACTCATAAATTTCAAACTGTGCACCATTCTGAGTAGCATGATGAAATTTCGTGCCATCCCACTCTGTCCTGCCTGGGACCTGAATCACCCCTTTATCCAGTGTATTCATCCTGTATATACTACCTGCCTGCTATAGTTTGATTCAAAATGATCCCCAAAGCCCCATATGTTAAAGGCTTAGGACCATATTGACACTATTAGGAAGTAGCAGAAACCTGAAGAGATGAAATATAGTGGGAGGTCTTCTGGTCATTGGAGGCATGCCCTTGAAGAAGGTACCGGGACACCAGTCTCTTCCTCTTCTTTTACTTCCTTGCGTGAGATGAATGGCTTGCTCTACCAAATACTCCTACCATGATGGGCCACCTTGCCACAGGACCAATGAATCAGGGACTAAAACCTCTAAAACTGAGCCACCATGAAAGTTTTTTCCTTATAAATTATCTTAGTTATCTGTTACAGTAACAAGAACCTGGCTAATACACTGCCCATTGGTCACTTAGCACACATCTTGGGCTGTCTTATTATCAATATATTGTTATAATTGTTTTATTATTTTTGTTAAAGTTTCACTTTTAAATTAGGTACATAGATTATCATACACTAGGGTTTTTTTGGGTTGTTGTTTTTTTTTTTTTTTCCTGGAGAAGAGGATACATGGAAAGCCATATACCACCCATCTATATTTCAGAAGTTATAAAGCAAATTAGCAAACTTAAGTAAAACATATTCTGTCTTTTTACCTTGACAGGTTTTCTTCAGAATGACCTGTATGGCCAGGTTCCAATTCAAATTCTCTGTTAAAATTTCATCTTTGGAGTTCTGTACTGAAAATGGCAGAGCAGGCAGAACTGACCCACCCACTATTCTTTCTACCACCAGTTTAGGACTGCTCTCCAGGATTCTTGCATGTGTCCTTGTGGGCCCTTAAGTCCAAGGTCCATCCATGCATCCCTTCCACAAATAGCTGTCCTTGCCTTGATTTGAATGGAATCACTAACATTTCAGAACAGAAGGGATGGCTGTCAAAGAGCTTAGGTTAAGAGTAGTCACTCATTCCACACATACTTCTGAGTATCTGCCATGTATATTTTAAGCTTCTTGAGGAAAAGGACATTGTCTCATTCATCTTGGGATCTTCAGGTGGAATTAATTCAATGTCTTCCTATAATCAGCGTCCATCAAACATTTGTGTAATTGATGAATAACAAGAAGTAATACAGGGATGTGATTGAGTGTAAGTTCTAGAATCCCTTTGACTTTAAGGCTTGACTCTGCCACTTAACAATTGGATGGCCTTGGGCAGATTATTTAACCTATCTGTGCCAGTTTTCACATCTGTAAATGGAAATAATTGTGTACGTATGTGAAAAGGTCTTGGAATTTGTTTGACAGTGTTGCAAAAATTTGATAAATGGTAGTCATTTTTCTTTTTCCTCTTTTTTCCTTCCTGATGTTACTACTGACAACCTTCCTGCAAATAGAAGTTCTTACTACCAATCCTACATAATCATCATTGACAATACAACATTCTGTTTTTTTCCATAGAATTTCTTCTTGCAAGAATATAACACAATAGATTCAGAGATTTTTTTTTTAAATTTATTTTACTTTTATTCTTTTGGTGCCAGGAATTGAACCCAGGAGTGCTTTACCAGTGAGCTACATCCCTAGCCCTTTTTGGTTTTTATTTGGAGAGAGGGTCTCACTGTGTTGCTGAGGGTCTTACTAAGTTGCTGAGACTGGCCTTGGATTTTCGATCCTTCTGCCTTGGCCTCCCCAGTTGTTGGCATTATAGATGTGCATCCCTGTACCCAGGTATCTAGAGAATTTTTGAACTTGGCAGATGGTTGGTTGTTCTTTGTTTACCAGCTAGGAAATTACAGCTCAGAGAATTTTCTGGAATTTCCCAAAGTCAGAGTATAGTGACCTCTGCAGAGCTGAAGTCACAGCTGTGCTTTTTAAAATTATAGTTCCCTAGTTGAAATTGAAATTTCTCCCAAATCCTAAGGAATCATTTAATAAATTAAATGTTAATATGTAAAAAACGTAATAGATGTGAAAAAATATCTTAATTCATCTGTTCAGAGTCTTTAATTTGACTGACTTGAATTGGTCATCGTTTTCCATTAAGTGTGAAAGCAAAAACATAATCAAAAGGGGATTGAAAAGCCTTTGTCAAAACCCTCCAAAACAGTGAAGTAAATTATGTCTATAAAAACTATTGTTGAGTGGTGTGTGTTATGGGATGGGATTCTCCAAAGCATATGTGGCTTTAAGACCCCCTATAGTGGGTGCCACCCTTGGCTTGTTTCTATGGAAACAGGAATGAAGCCTTAGGGCACAAAACCCTTCTACCTCCAAGGTCTCACTTCTGTGGCCTTGTATCAGTGGGCTCAGCCCAACCATTGTGAAAAAGGAGAACTTTGGTAAGGTAGACAGAAGTCTCAGCAGGAACCTAACCTGCCTTCAGAACAGTCATTTAAAAGGAATAATGATTGATTTGCTGCCTTACAGGCTTCAATATTTCCCAGAAAAGAAATAGTACAAATAAGGTACAATAGAAGCAATAATTCTGGGCCAGTGCCAAGTAGACTCCTGTATGTTCTTTCAGTCCTGAATGCCCAACCTCAGCTAGTGCCACCCCACTGCTCCAGTTTCAGGGAGCATGCCAGAATCGGAGCCCCAGCCCTCCCCCTAGAGGAGTGAAAGCAATTCCACTGAGCAGCATCCCAAGTTCCCTGATCTTGTCTGGATGATACCTCTACATCAATCTACATCAATCTATAAATTGTAATTTAGTTGTAAAGGAAGAGAAGCCAAAGTCAGCACCCCAAGCACAACAGTGATTCCACTCCCCATTTCTGGAGGAAAAAAGTCAGAAAGTGTCACTTGACAGGAGCCATTCATGCATCTCTTCCCTTTAAAGAATAACTGCATCTCCCAGAAAATGAATGGTACACCTAGAATTCAGGGGATGCAGTGAGATGAGGTAAACGTTTTGACCAACATGGTGGAACTGAGAAAGGAAAACTGAGATATTAAAATAGCAAGAGGATAAATAAATTTTTAAAAAATTTGGTTT